ATAAAAACCTGCCTTAACTAAATCAAATGTTTCATTAGAAAATATTTACTTAATGCAAAGGAAATATCAAAGAAAGAATAAGGGAATAAAAAGACATAGAACACACAGAAAATGGAAAGTAAAATGGCAAATACAAATTTGACTATAAAATGATAACATTAAACATGGAAAATCCAATGAAACACAGAGATTGTAAAACTATACCAAAGGAGATTCAACTATATGCTATGGGAACAATCATACTTTAGATTCCAAGATACAAAAAAATGAAAGTAAAAGGATGAAAAATATAAATCATGAAAATAGGAGTCTCAGAAAACTGGACTGGCTATACTAATATCACACAAATAACTTTAAAACAAACACAGTTACTAGAGATAAAAAGGACATTTTATGATGATAAAACTGTCAACTAATCAGGGAATGATACAATTATTAATGTATATACATTTAATAACAGAACATTAAAATATATGAAACAAAACCTGACAGAAACCAATAGAAAAATAGTAAAAAAAGTAGTTGAATATATCAATATCTCATATTCAATAATTGATAGAGTCTAAAGAATAACAAGATAAATGAACTATACCATAAATCAACTAGAACTAATAGATGTTGATATAAAACATTCTACTTAACAACAAAGGAATATACATTATTCTCAAGTTGAGGCACAAAATTCACCAGTTATAGATCATATGGTAAGCAATGGTGAAAGACTGGATATTTTACCCCTAAGATAAGGATTTATTTTCTAACTATTCTCTTCAAAATATGTAAAATTATATACTACATATTAATATTAGATATTCTATTGGAGCTTCTGCTCAGAGAAATCAAGGAAAGAAAATTAATAAAAGGTATTCAGATTGGAAAAAAGAATATTAATGGTTGATATGATTTTTTATATAGAAAATTCTTAGGAAACTACTAAAATCCATCATAATAATAAAGCAGTACATCAAGTTTCAAAATGCAAGATCAATATTTGAAAGTCTACTGTATTTCTATATACTTGCAATGAAAAGTCAAAAATTAAATTGAGAAAACAATTCCATTTACAATACCATCAAAAATAATTTGAGAACATTCAATAAGAGAAGTTCAACATCATACTCTGAAAACACAAAGCATTGTTGAATAAAAATTTTAAAAATACTTATGGAACTACATTCCAGGTATTGGAAGTTTTAATATTACTAAGATGGTGATGTTACACAAATTGATCTACAGATTCAATGTAGTCTCTATCAAAATCTCAGTGGAAGTTTTGGTTTAAAGTGAAAAACTCATTCTAAAATTCATATGGAATTGCAAAAAGTGTGTAAAAACCAAAACATTCTTGAAAAAGAATAACAAAGTGGGTGTATTTATGCTGTCATTTTCAAAACTTACTCAAGGCAGCATAAATCAAGAAAGTTTGGTGCTGACACCATAATAGGTATTTAAGGCAATAGAATAGAATTTAGACTCAGAAATAAATTCATGGGTCAATAGGTATCTGACTTTTTACAAGGCTGTCAAGAGTATTCCATGGGGCAAAGAATAATCTTTTCAACAAATGGTATTGGAGCAATGGACAGAACCATGAAAAAGAATGAACTGTTCTATCATATGCAAAAATTAACTCAAAATGTATCAAACACTTAAATATAAGATCTATAACTACAAAGTTCTTAGGAAATATCATAGTTGTAAAAACCTTTAAGAAAAATGCTCTTACGTATGACAATCAAATCATGAGCAACAAAAGAAAAAGTATTCGAATATAGATTTCATAAAAATTAAAAGCTTTTCTGCTTCATAAACCATCAAAAAAGTAAGTGTACAATCCATAGAATAGGAGAAATATTTCATACTTATATCTGATAATACACATGTAATAAAGAGCTCTTACATTTTGATGATAAAATACAACACAATTAAAAATTGTTAAATTATTCAAATAGACATTCACCCAAGAAAGACATAAAATGACCAATAATTACATTAACAGATAAGTAGACATCAAGGAAATGTAAATCAAAATCACAAAGACAGACCATTTCATATTCAAAAGGGTAACTACTGCTGGAATATAAGTGTATAGTCACTCTGGGAAGCAGTTTGGCAGTTATTTAAGTTATTAACAATGTAGTTACTCAAGCAATTCTACTCTAAGATATATACCTGATAGAAATGAAAATATATAGCCTGCATAAAAACTTGCATGCAAATGTTTATAGTGGTCAAAAGGTGAAATTATTTGCCAGCTGACAGATATATACACAAAATGTGATATATCCATATTGTGGAATATCATTCAGTTATATAAAGAATTAAGAACTGATACATGCTACATTGTAGAGCAATTTTGAAAACATTATGCAGTCAAATTGATATTGTCACAATGTACCATGCATTATATGATTCCATTCATATGAAATATACTGAATTTAGAAAGCTATAGAAATGAAGAGTGGTTTCTTAGGGTTAGGGTAAGTGGGAAAGTAAAGGTATATAATAACTATAGGAAAAGAATTACCTTTTGCAATGACAAAAATGTTCCAAATTTAACTGTGGTAATGGTTGGCCATATTTGTGAATATACTTAAAAATCATTGAATTTTATATCTTACTGAGTAACTTAAATCTCACGTGTTGTTTAAAAAATAATCTAATGAGCTTCCCTGATAGAACATTCCATACATGTTCTGGACTTTGGAGATACAGTAAGGCTATGTTCCTCCTATCTCTTTAGTATTAACATAGAGAAGGAAGAGACATGGTTAAAGCTTACTTTAAAAATGTATTAGCAATAAGAGCAATGCTGGTGGCTTCATAATACCCGATCTCAAATTATCCTTCAAAGCTATAAAAAAACCCCAGCAATATATTGGCATAAAACAGGCAATGGAATACAAGACACAGAGAATATTCTTCACAGCTATAGTCATCTGATCCTTGAGAAAGGTTCAAAAATACATGTTGGAGAAAAGATAATCTTTTTAATAAATAGTTCTGAGAAAACTGGATATTCACCGTAAAGAATGAAAGTAGATCACTATGAAGGGTGAGCCCTTCACAAAAATCAATTCAAAGTGGATCAAATACATAGGAAATGACCAGAAACACTGAAACTACTAGAAGAAACCATACACTCAACACTCCAACATGTTGGTGCAGATATCTACTTCATTAAGACTCTAAAGCTCAAGAAATAAAACCAAGAATCAGTAAGTGGGATGGTATCAAAATAAAAAGCTTCTGCACATGTAATATAGGGTAATAATGTCCATCTCATTCCACTGTCTTTCCCATCCCCACATACACTTACTTCCCCCAGAGGAAGGAGAAGCTGTGCTCCATTTATGTACAGTGTGTCAAAATACATTATACTGCTATGTATAACTATTTAGAATACATTAAAAATTAATAAAAATAATCATAAAAGCTTCTGCACAGCAAAGGAAACAAGAGTGTGAAGAGAGAGACTACAGAGTAAGAGATTTTTGCCAACTGCTCTCCCAATAGGGGATTAATATGTATATAAAAACTAAAAAAAAGGAAACACTTAAAATTGGAAAAATAAATAACTAAATAAATATATAGGTAAATGAACTAATTTTTTAAAAGGTGAAATACAAATTGCCAACAATTATGTGAGAAAAAATTTCAACGTCCTTAGTAATCACAAAAAATGCATATCAAAACTACTTTGAGATTTCATTTTACTTCCATTCGGAATGGCAATCATCAAGAATACATATAAAATATCCGTTGTCAAGGATGTGGGGGAAAAGGTAGGATACACAGTGTTAGTGGGACTGCAAATTAGCAAAACCCCGTTGAAAAACAGTATGAAGATTCCTCAAAACCAGGAATGAAACCACTATATGACTCAACTATCCTACTCTTTGGTTTTTATCTGAAAGTACTAAAATCAGCTTACTACAGCGATATGGGCACATAAATGTTTATCGCAGTGCAATTTACAATAGCCATGTCATGGAATCAACCCAGGTGCCCACCAACAGATGAATAGATACAGAAAATGTGGTATATATACACAGTGGTATTTCACTCAACCGTAAAGAAGAATGAAATTATGTCATTTGCTTGTAAATAAAACTAGAAAATATGATAGACTCAGAAAATCAGGGGTCAGATGTTTTCCCTTACATATGGAAGCTAGAGAGAAAAAGAGGAATAAAAAAAGGATCAAATTAAAAAGGGAGATCTATAGAGTAGAAGAAGGGGTTCTGAGAGAGAGAGAGAAGGGGAGGACATTAGGAACAAAATCTACTCAAATATGCTATGTTAATGTATATATACACCACAATGAATATGTCATTTATATATTATTAGAATGCACTAATTAACATAAAATAAAAATGGTATGGGTTGTTAGAAGAGAGCAAGGTCATTGGGGGAGGCAGGAGGGTAAGGAAAAGAAAGGTACAGGGGAATGACATTGATAAAACTTATGAGCATGTACAAATATGGCATAATGATTCTCACTATTATGTATGATATTAATGCATCAATAAAAAATAACAATACACTAAATGTTGAGGAGTATATGTGAGAGGAGTAGCACAAAGTGAACTTATTTCTCTTTTTCTTTGTTGTACATGTCTATTTATTAATGAAAAAGGAAGTATCAGCTATGATACAAGAAATAAGCAAATGTCTCAAGAGAACAATTATCATCAAATAAGACATATAGCAACAGCTATATGAATTATGGGAAACTGATAGAATTAGGATAAGATCCTTGGATCCTTTTACTTACTCTCTGCTAAATTTTGCACCATGCACCCTTTGTTAATTTTACTTTGTAGTAAATTGTATCCTTTAGTGCTGATGCATATTGAGTCCAATGAATCCTATAGAATAACTGTACCTGGCTATTATCTTAAGGACCACTTAAACAACACGTTCGGACTTTAATTTATTTCAAATATTGAGAAATAATATGATTACATTCTTAAGGAATTTCAATTGAATATACTCACCTTTGCTATCTATTTGTTGTTGCACAGAGTGTTGTTCTTTAGTTTCCTTTCCCTGGACAACTGGAGGTGGGAGGAAAACAGGTCTCCAAAAACCTAGAAAACATAAAATAGACCATATTATTTTCCAGTGCCTAATAAAAAACAATGTAAAAAGGGGGATTTTATAATTCTGTAGTGAAAAATTGTTTCTAATTATACTACTTTTCTTCAAATATATAATACTAGTGATCCTAGTCTCACTTTTCATGGAGTTTATTAAAGTAATACCAAAGCCCAGCTTTGAAACATTATATCATATATTATAATATATTTTCTCCATATAAAATAAAGCAGATATTCATTTAAATCTAAAATATTTGTAGAAATTTCTTGGTTTAAAAGCTGTGGTATAAATTTGGCTAACAAATTTATCGTCTCTAGTCACAGCTAAATGACTTAATTCTGGGTCTTGAAGATACACCAAGGCTGTTTTCCTCATAACTCATTACTATTGGCATAGATAAAGGAGAGGTGTGGTGAAAGCAATGATAGTGAAGAGGAGATGAGTATCATAGTGGTTTTTATCTTTGTCTTTGTTATATTTTTAAATTTATTAATGAAAAGACAAGTATCAGTTAAGATACAACAAAAATTAATATAAATTTTGTCAAAGAAGACATACAAGTGAAAGAACATAGTTTTTACACCTATATCCTTTAATTTTAATTTTAGGATTTAAAAAAATCACATTTAGACTGTGAGTTTATATTTTCAATATATAATAGCTAAAGATGAATGAAAGCACCTAGTAAACGTTTGGTTTCATAATTGAAAGTATTTTCACCTATAAATTAGCCCATATGGAAATGCATGCTTTATATTAATAATAATCTAGTAGCTTGGGCTGTGACTCAGTGGTAGCGCACTTGCCTTGTGTGTGTGAGACACTGGGTTCCATTCTCAGCACTATGTATAAATAAATTAAAAAAATAAAGATCAACAACTAAAAAAATATTTAAAAAGTAATCTACACATTAGATAACTCATATCTAATTGCAATATATATAGCATTAAAATTATTATAAGTGTATAATATATACTTTATATAATTGAAAGATAGTACATCTTCATGGTTAACATTAGAGATATTGGAGCATCATTTCACAACCTCTTTTACTTATCATGTTACCTTGATTAATTACATATTTTCTTGTTCCTCAGTTTCTTGTTTGGCAAAAAGGAAAAAAAAGATAATAGGAGGTATTTCCCAGAGTTCTGAGGTTTTAATATATTTGTGCATGGAAAAATAGTGAATTAATATTAATAAATTTGTACTACTGAATTACTATTAATGAATTAGCATATGCAAAGGGTTTAGAAAAATTTATGGCAGTGCTACATAAAGTTTATCTATGATATGTAAAGGGGTTTAACAATAGTCAGTGAGAATTAGATGCAATGCATGTGATTTGTATAATATAATACTTATCACAGTTCAATCACTCAATTTCAGCTGCTATTATTGTTTTTAAATAATGGACTTTACTAGTTTGAAATGTGTTACTTAAGGTTCTATTTTCACATATTTATTATAATATATACTAAGCACACAGTAGGCAATCAACAAAATTTTGCAACCCATATCAATAACAATGCAGTTGAATCTCATGAGTCTTTCCACCTCTGAGCAACAGTTATTCCATTTCATTTAATATTTATCAGATGGTGTTTGAAAATATTAAAAACTGAAGCAAGAGGAAATTTAAATCTTTATAGCCTCTGTGCTGATTAAATGTAACTCTTAAGGGGTTGCTAATATTACCTTATTAGAACAGAATGATATTAGATTAGTGGAGAATTAACATAGTGTTACTAAATTCAAATCCAATGAAAACATTTTTTAAAGATTTTTTCCTTTCTTTGTAAAATTAAACAGTATTTTTAAATGACTACCTTTCCTATAAACTACTTGAAAAGAAAAATCTCAGAAAACAATTTCTCCCTGTTTTTTTCTGTCCAATAGGATTGCATTTCTAACTATAGGGCAGATAAATTTTTGTTTGTTTGTTTTTTGTTGTTTTTACCCCCTCAGGGACTGTAAAAGTTAGGTAAATATTTTCCTTTGCTGTTAAAGTAAAAATATCATAGTTATTCTAGCTAAATTAATGACTTGTGATAAAGATACCTGACAATCAGTGCAACCACTGGTAAAACTTTGTTTTGCTAAATGCTCCAAAATTCAGAGCATACCTGCTTTTTATTGGACATATTAGTCTGCCACACTTAAAGCAAATGACATCTGAGAAATGTCAATGTTATTTGGGACAAATTTAAAGGCTTATTACGTGATGTTATGGTTTAGATATGAGGTATCATTTGAAAGTTCATGTGTGAAACAATGCAAGAAAATTTAGAGGTGAAATGATTAATGAGATTCTTAATCCAATCAGTGAATTAATCCTTGGATAGGGATTAACTGGATGGTAACTGTAGCTAGGTAAGGTGGGTCACTAGGGGTGTGCTTTTGGGGTACTTATTTTATACATGGTGAGTGAGGACTCTGTCTCTTTGTACTTCCTGATGTGATGTCTTGTGCTACTTCTCTCCACCACACTCTTCTGCCATGATGTTCTGCTGCATCTCAGGCCCTAAGGAATGGAGTCGGCCATCTATGGACTGTGACCTCTAATCCTGTGAGCCCTCAAATAAATCATTACTCCTTTAATTGTTCTTATCAGGTCTTTTGTTCACAGCAATGAAAAAGCTGACTTAAACATAGAGAAATAGTATATTCAAATAGGAAATTATGATTATACATTAATGTATTTTATTTTAAACACTGTTTTTGAAAGGAGTTACAGTTTATTTTAAAATTATTCTAATATCATAGGAGAGCTTTCTTGAAATATTTAGGGTCAAGTTCTTAGGTAATTTTGGTACTTAGAGCTAAAAGCCTCCTTGGAAAATGTATAATATAAACAAAAACACTATCTATAAGCATACCTTGATAAAATGGCTTAGGAAATCAAGAATCATAATGCTTTGGTATGGTAAACATGATTGATAATATAAATGCTAACTTTTCATTGGCAATCATAGAGGTTAGATAATGATATTTTGAGAGAAGCAAAATAATTTGAATGTTTTTAGGCTTAAATATTTACCACATTCCACAAAAACTAATAATAAGAAAAATTATTAGTTATTTGTACATATATAATGATAGAAGGTAAATTCAAAAGGCATTTCTTAGGCCAACATAACCATGTTTGCTAAGTATTCTTTAATTTTCCTCCTTTTATGTTAAGGAGATAAAAAAAATTAAACTAAAGTGAGATTTGCCCAATTTTTTAAAGTGAAATGAAAATTGAGTATAAGGTGCCTTTCTTCAGAATTGCTGATAAAATGGTCACAGATCCAAATCTGTCAATATTTGAAGTGTCATAATGTCATTAAACTTATAAAACAAGCTGTTTTCAAAGGCAATATATATTTACACTTACCTTGAGGACGATTTTCCTTTCTGCGAGCACCAAGCCGTTGTGCTTCATTTTCTGAGTCAAGGTGATGTCTTTCACTGTCAACTGTAGTTCTCTGCTTTTTTTCATTATCAGACTCCATGAGATGGCTTTCACTTTCTTCATCTACTTGAAGTTTTACATTTTTTAATTGTTCCCTCTCCATCTCCATCAAGCATCTTTTACTTTCAAATTCACTTGGATTTCTTTCATTTTCAGGGCTGGTACGATGTTTTTCATAACGAGAGTCTTCATTATGCATATTCAAGTCATACTGAAGATTTTGAGAGTCATCCTGACAGCTTTCAGAGATATTCTGAAGTTTTACAGACCTATGCTGATATTTTCTAGGGCTATCCCAGCATTTACCATGATCAAAGTCTGATTGTTCTTTTGCAGAGTCTGTCAATTTTCTTTCAGATTTAGACTTGCCCATCCAGAATCTTTCCAAGTCACAGACACTTTGGCAAGTTTTGGCCTTCCTCAGGTGTTTTACAGAATCACTGGCCATCCCCAGACTTTCAGATTTCAAGTCCACTGTATGTTTTTCAGACCATGAATCTATCCAGAACCCATCAGAATCAGTGCTCAGCTGAAATGTTTTCGGATCCATGAGACTTTTCTCAGTTGCAGAAGCTAGATCATATCTTTCTGTGTCTGAGTCCGTCCCACATGGTTCAGAGTCAGAGTCCATCATATATCTCTTAGATCTAATCTCATGTTTTTCTTCCCCCATCAGATGTGCCCTGGATTTAGAGTCTGTGTTCATTCTACCTATTTCTGTTTCTGAGTCCATCACATACCTCTTAGAAGCAGAGACCATCCAGAACTTTTCAGTCTCCATCAAACTCTTTTCAGATTCCATCAGACGTTTTATAGAATCTGAGGCCATTTGGTGTTTTTCTGCCTTCAACTTGTGTTTCTCAGATGCAGAGGCCATGGGGCATTTTTCTGAGTCTGAGTCTATCCCCAGTCTTTCATTGTCAGAGTCCATCAGATACTGTTCAGAATCAGAGTCTGCCAAGCATTTTTCTGAACCTGAATCCATCCAGTGTTTTAGAGAGTCAGAGTCAACCTGGCACTGTTCAACTTTCACCAGGTGTTGCTCTGATTCCATCAGGTCTTCCTCCGAGCCTGAAGCCATCTGGTATCTTTTTGCTTCTAAAAGGTTATTTCTAGATGCTGAGTCCCTGGGACATGTTTCTGAGTCTGAATCTATTCCCCATATTACTGAGTCAGAGCCTTTTGAGTGTTGTTCTAAGTCATAGTCAGAACCTATGCCTCTATCAGAGTCAGAATCAATCACACATCTTTCAGAACCAGAGTCCATAAGAGGGGTGCCACTTTCAATTATTGTTAGATCTTGGAGACTTTTGTAGATCAAAGAACCACCTGGAGTTACAGAACTTTTTGTATCAGAAACTTCTGTTTCACATTTGTGTCCTTCATTATGTCTCAGCATAAAAGTTTCTTCATTACTTAAAGAAAACACAAACAGGAATACCTTTTTGAATATTCATGAAATATTAGTAAACACATTGATTTCCTATAAAATACTATAGAGTGTATAGTTCTACTTTTCTAATTGTGGAAAGCAAGAGACAACATTAAGATTCTTGTGGAAAAATATTGGATGACTATTTCAGTATTTTAACTGGAAGACATACTGAAAGTTGATTTTACACTCACTTGCATCTTTGCTCACACTTACAGTTTTCCAATGTACCTAAATGTAATTGCCTGATTAGGCTACTTTCTTGCAATATATCATTGCCTTGTTATTATCTAATCAATACATAATATTTGTGGATCTAATTTTATGTTAAAATGTAGTATAAAATAAAAGTAGCCTGTTTCTACAGTGTAATCCAAGATAAGATTGTATTTAGGTAGACCTGATTATTAATGAAGCTTACATCGGAGTGTTGAGTCTTTCTGAAGAAAAATATTCAAATCTGTCAGGTACTTTTTCATTTGGAAGTGACACATCTTGAATGGAAGATACAGGTTCACTTGCTGAACTAGTTGTTGTCATCAGCTGCAAAACAAGTAATACATTTTTGAATTCAAAGTAATATTTAACATTAAACAAATCATATTAAGGTATTTAGAATTAGTTACACTTGTGTTTAATGGACAGTCATATAACTTCCAAAGTAAAATTGAAGAATTAATATTTGAATATTAGAACAGGCATGGCAGACACATTATGGGGTATCTTCTCTTCTGTTTTTTTTTTTTTACATAACCTGATGTTCCAAATTGGAGAAATAATATTCCTTCTTCAAATTCAGAAAAGTTTTTTTCCCCTGCTGTTTGTTTGAAAAGAGGATATGTAACCTCAGGCATCATAGAAAATTCATTTCTCTTATATGCTCAGATGAGTAGAAAAACTCAGTGTAGAGAAAGTAAATAATAAAATAGCCATATACATAGGAAGTAGAAACAAGAGATAATATGCCTCTAGAGAAACAGAGATGGAAATAATTTCTCGCTGGGTTCCTGATGTTTAAGTCTCTCTAAGTATCGACTTCTGCTCATGACTTCTCTAAGGTAATCATAGATAATTGAAATAAGTTCTCACATCCTGTCCTATTTTTTCTTCAAGCAATTATGAGTGATATTCTGTTCCTTTCAACCAAAATGACTTTCATAAACAGTAGAATTTCTGTCAATATTTTATTGTTAATCTCAAAGAGCAACACATATAACAAGTGTGCCTTTTAGGCATAGAGAGGATCTTGCACAAGTGAAAATAAAGTTTAGTAACCCAAATTAAGTTTCCCTCTTCACGAAACATGGAAATGAAATAAAAAATAATATTGTAGTGTGTCATTTAGTTATGATATAAAAAAGTTATCCTACACCATAATATACTTTAGAATTGATTGTAATAAAAGATTTGGAATCTCTCTTTTCAGATAATAACTATGAGGCTCAAATAAAATAATGTTTAGGAGGAAACATTCATTTTGAAAACTGTTAGATAATTATAAAATGTAATTATTAACAAATAGAAAATAAACATGACATTACTTTATATGGCAAACAAACACGAAAAATGTTGACATTTTTACATGCTAGGAAAGGTAGAAGGCAAATGACTTTCATGGTTCTAAAAAGTGAGAATACCCAGAACTTCTCTGATTCCTGTTCTCAAGTCATATTAATAATTATTTAATCATATTTGCTCTGCCTCTGACTGCATCCATGTGGAGAGAGGACCCAACCATGCTTCAGATCCCCGGCTACCAACTGTGGCTCCCCTCAGAACACCTCCATCTTGGGACACTGCAGCCATAGTCCTTCCCACATGGTAGCCTCCACCGAGGGACAATGTACAGGGCCTAGAGGTAGCTGCCTGATGCAATACCACATGCCACAGCACTGCATTGCTGCACAGGCCACTCAATGCCATCACACAGCCCACCCTTCCATCCCCATCTCTGAAATGGTCACCTCCATCTTGGGTTACCTTCATTGACTTCTCTGCCATCTGTAGTTGGTGCAGCTTCCATCTTGGGATACCTACTGTGGTCTGGAAGCCCAATAGCAAGATACCAACAGGTATGATGCTACTGCTGCCACCAACTAGAGACATTACTGCTTCCATCAAGGGACAACCAACAAGACCTGAAAGACCACCACCAAGGTCTGTGGGGCTGATTACACCACAGGTATCGCTACTAAGTGTATTAAAATATACCATCTTGTTGCAGAGGCAGAAGAGAGCCCTTTCTCATTTTTCTTCTTTTAACATCCAGATTCTTTTGATTTCCCTTTAATGCTTCCTATAATCTACTACTTCATAAACATCTCATTTTACACTCCCAAACAAAATGCCCCAAACATCTCATTCTACACTCCCAAACAAAATGCCCCAAACAAACCAAGATGCTACAATAATAGAATCCATTGACAGTGCAGAAGATGAAATGTCACCAGTGTATATAATTAAAATGATCTGCACATCAAAGAATAACACAAGAGAGCAAATACAATAAACAACTGATCACTCCAACAAAGAGCTAAAAGAGCAAATACAAGTAGCAAAAGATCACTTCAAGAAAGAGATAATCTGAAAAACAAAACTAAACAAAAAACACAAACCAAACCAAACCAAAACAGAAATTCTTGAAGAGAAGGAGACAATAAACCAGATAAAAATTCAATAGAGAGCATCATCAACATTTGGAAGACAGAACCCCAGGCAAAGAAGACAAAATATCCAATTTTGAAAATAAATTTGACCATACAGTGAAGATGATAAGAAACCATGAACAGAACATCCAAGAATTATAGAATAACATTAAAAGGACAAGTCCAGATTTATCATGATAGAGGAAGGCATAGAGATTCAAACCAAAGGAATGCACAATGTCTTCAATGAAATAATATGAGAAAATTTCCCAAATATGAAGGATGAAAAAATTTCCCAAAGATGAAGCATATTCTCAGCAAAAGAAATAATCAGTGAGGTGAAGAGAGAGCCTACAGATTGGGAGCAAAATTTTACCACATGCCCATCAGATAGAGCACTAATATCTAGGATATATAAAGAACTCAAAAAACTTAACATTAGGGGCTGGGACTGTGGCTCAGTGGTAGCACACTTGCCTGGCATGTGTGAGGTACTGAGTTTGATTCTCTGCATTGCATATAAATAAATAAAATAAAGGTATATCAACAACTTAAAAAAATTAACACCAAAAAAACCCAATTAATAAATGGGTGAAGGAACCAATCAGACACTACTCAGAAGAAGATATAAAATCAATCAACAAATATATGAAAAAATGTTCAACATCTTTGGTAATTAGAGAAATGCAAATTAAAACTACTCTAAGATTTCATTTCAGTCCAGTCAGAATTGCAGTTATCAAGAATACAAATAAGTATTGATGAGGATGTAGGGGAAAAGGCACAATCAAACATTGCTGGTGAGACTCAAAATTGGTGCAACCAATCTGGAAAGTAGTATGGAAAAAAAACTGGAAAGAAACCATCATTTGACTCAGCTATTCCACTCCTTGGTCTATACCCAAAGGACTTAAAATCAGCATAATATAGTAATGCAGGCACATCTATGTTTATAGCAGGATAATTCACAATAGCCAAATTATGGAACCAACCTAGATTTCTTTCAATAGATAAATGGATAAAGAAACTGTGGTATATATACACACAATGGAGTATTACTCAGCAATAAAAGAGAATAAAATTATGGCATTTTCAGGTAAGTGGATGGAGTTAGAAAATATGATGCTAAGCAAACTAAACCAATACCAAAAATCCAAAGGCCAAATGTTTTCTCTAATAAGTGTATACTAATCCATAATGAAGGAGACATGAGATGAGTGGAGAAACTTTGTATTGGGCAAAGGTGAGGAGAGGGCATAGGTATAGGAAAGATGGTGGAATTAGACAGACAACATTACCCTAGGTACATGTATGATTGCACAAATGATGTGATTCTGTTGAGAACCACAGCCGAAGGGGCCCCAGCAAACTTTCAGACTGCCAGCTGATGATTGGCTCACAGCGGCCCCAGCAACTTCTAGCTGATTGGTTCCTCTGTGGTGATGCTCATTGGGCTGTTTCCCTGCCCTTTCAGACTACGGAGCTGCTCATTGGGGAACTTTTTTTTGGCTTGGCCCATGCGACCCAGCCAATTGGCCTCAAGAGCAGGAGGAGTGGGGGAGGTTGAGAGGCTTGTGGGAAGCCAGTGGTGGCAGTTGGGCTCTGAAGGTTTTCCTGAGGAGCTGTTTTGTTTGGCATGTGTTGCTCTAAAAATAAAGTTTGTTTCTTTTGAGAAGTGGCTCCTGAATTGTGTCCAGCCAGACTGCGGCATTTGGTGGGACACATGGGGAATGACTGAGGGTAAGTGATAAGGTAAACTGCTCGCCCCTGAGGGCAGGGCAAGAGGATGGGTAGCCATTTTAAGATTCTTCTTTTGTTTTGCTTCACTTTTGTTTTAAGTTGCCTGTCCCTGGAAATGGTTGAGACGGAAGAAAAACCGCTCACATCTGAGGAAAAACTATTTACGTCTGAGGAACAGATAGGGAGAAAGGACAGATGCACATTTCAGGAGGATAGAAAGGCTATAATGATTTTTTGTTGTTCCATTTTTATTTCATTCTGTCTCGGTTTTGTTTGGCGTCATCTTGTTGGGTTGTATTATAGTAGAAATATGGGATCAGAAATTAGTAAAAAACAAACTGAAAGAGTGTTAAGTAAATTATTAGAGGAAAGAGGCATCTCAGTAAAATCAAGAACAGTCAGGGCATACGTTGATACAATACAAAAATGTAGCCCATGGCTTTTTAAGGAGGACTTGCTAAATATATCACAATGGAACCATCATGGTGAAGATTTAAAAAGAATAGAAAAGAAAAGCTCAGGAACGCTGACAGTTGGCACATTGACATTGTGGACGTTCGTATCTTGTTTGCTTAGTGCAAAGCCTTCAGTTCAGACAAAGATAGAGGAAGAAAGCTTAGAGCAGAAAAAGCCATCAGGGGGAAAGTTACAAAAGGAGACTGCTACTAACAACTTTCTATCACAAGAGGGCATAAGTGTCCAAGCAAAAGTACCACCTCTACAAGAGACTGCTACTAACACCTTTCTATCACCAGAGGATGTAAATGTCCAACTAACAAGGCCACATTCATATGCTGGGAGGCCCCCAACCCCAACAGTTGATAGTTGGGATCCTGAGACAGGATCTCAAGTATTAACATGCCCTGTATTTGAGGTAGGAGGGCAGTGAATTCACCATGCTTTAAATTTCAAAATAGTGAAGCAGCTAAAAGAGGCTGTAACAACCTATGGTCCTCAAGCACCCTTCACTATAAGCTTGGTCGAATCCATTAACAACTT